TTATTCATGTGTTATTGTGTGTTATTCATGTGTTATTCATGTGTTATTATAACACCAGGAATATTCCTAGGATATAATAACACATGAATAACACACAATAACACATGAATAATACGGGAGGAATATTCCCCGTGTTACTGTGACATTTTTTTTTCTGCGTCGTGCGAGATATCGTGGCGTGATTTTATTGAGTACATACAACGTGTGCTTAGTACTAATATAATATTTTTTCTATGGATTGTGGACGACCGTCCGGAGTAGGATCATTCGCCAAAATTTTTAGTGCCGGCAGCTGTGTGTGGGGCGCATGCCCTTTTTCGGACTGGTATAGTAGTTCCGTAGACGGAAAAAATATTACATCAGTACTACGCACGTAGAGTAACGTGCGTATCCAATGAAATCACGCCACGATACCCCGCGCGACGCAGAAAAAAAAATGCGCAGTAACACGGGGAATATTCTCGTGTTATTCATGTGTTATTGTGTGTTATTCATGTGTTATTGTATCCTGGGAATATTCCTGATGTTATAATAACACAATAACACATGAATAACACATTAATAACACACAATAACACAAGAATAACACGTGAGAGAATATTCCTCCATGTTACTGCGCCGTTTTTTTCTCTGTCGGGAATATTTCCCGTATTATTCAAGTGTTATTGTGTGTTATTCATGTGTTATTATATCCTGAGAATATTCTTGGTGTTATAATAACACAATAACACATCAATAACACATGAATAACATGCAATAACACATGAATAACGCGCAATAACACATGAATAACACAGGAGGGAATATTCTCCGTGTTACTGCGCCGTTTTTCTTACTCCGCCGCGCGAGATGTCGTGGCGTGTTTTGATTGGCTACGCACTTAAAAATAAGGTGCGTAGTACTGATGTAATATTCCTTCCCGTAGACGTCTGCGAGGCAACTTCTCAACGTCAACTTCCGCTTTCGACAAACTTCTGCACAATGCTCCGCCACTTCTTCTCCCTTCGCAGGCATGCCATTCTAAACCCTAACCTAAAACCCTAAACCCCAACCCTAAAAGTCGTGAGTGCATTCGTCTCATTAGTAAAAGCACCTTTTCCTCATTTACTTGATGTGCTGACCTCATCGAACTTCACATGATTATGGATTCAGTACTTCCGAGGTATCATGATTTGCTTGAAAGAAATCGTTTTCTTTCGCGCCAAGTATAGCAGAAAATGGTCCTTTAGCCGAAGTATCCATTCCTTTTCGTTGTGGAGCTTCGGTTCCTCCGTCGCCACTCGGGATGGAGTGCCTTTATTTGTGGCAATCGCTCTAGGTTTTTCTCTTGTTTTTTGGCATGCTGGTGTTTGATTTACTCTTAGAGCCGTACTCCTATAAGAAAATGGATAAACCAGTGAAATCTATTACTTGGACTCATTTACTTGACTGTTTTAGGTGGCAGTACACCTCCTGTTGTAGTTCTTGTTTCAATTCAAATTGATATTTTGTCGTGAATTTAGAGAGGGTGATTCTCAGGCGCTAGATAATTCATGGCTAATGCATTTTTAAATTGACTGACAATTATTGGCAGACGTTAACTGAAGCAAGCTTGTTTGAAGGTTTACTATTTTTATTTTAAAACATTGTAATTTACCTTTTGCCCGCATCTGTCATTCTACTGACTACAACTTGATGCTGGACTTTCTAATTAAGATTTTTATTTTTGCTCGTGTATTTCATTGTTTGAAACGCTAATGTTTACAACATTGTTCAATAGATTTATGGTTTTGTTTAGTGCCATAATTAAATGACATATTTTTGTTACTTTTTAGGCAGGCAATTTCTTCAAGATTTTTCACTGAGAAACTTAGTTATGTCAGAGATGTTTCATGGGCATATAATTTAGTGTCTGAGCGTGGTATTTCAACTACTGGGTCAGGTGTGTTGATCATTGTGTTGATGATGACTTCAATTTTTCTTCCTCTTTGATTAATTACTGATCTAACTCATTTATAATACATTTCTAGAGCGTAGTTCGGGAAAGGCATTTGCTGATTTTTCTATTTTTAAAGGAAAAGCTGCACTTTTACTGTCTCCTGTGCCTCCAACATTCATTAAGATGGATGTAAGTTTTGATATTTATTTTATTTTATATATTTTTTGGTCCCTTATTTTTGTTTGATATATTAAAAAAGGTTTTTTGCTCAATATTGATAGTTCATATTATGCAGTCTGGACATCAAAGAGTTGATAAAAAGGGTGTTATTTTGATGAAGTTCATCCCAGCTATTGGTCAACGGAAGTATGATAGTGAGAGGAAACAGGTAGTGTTTCTTACATATGGATTTTGAGGTTAGTTTTTGAGTGAGTATTTTCATTTGTAGTTATAGTTATTTTAATTTTGTTAATAATTTACATGCTGAAATACTTAAATCTGGAACCTTTTCAAAATACCATATCTCTAAAATGGTAGATTCACATATATGCTACTCTGTTCTTAGTGGTATTTTGATGTGATATGAAAGATTTGGGTGGTATAAATGCAAAAAGCAAACTTTAGGTATTAGATGTAAAAACATAAGAATTGGGTGGTATCTATGTAAATGCCCCTTCTAAATAATGAATCTGCCTACTAATTATTCTTTTGAAATAAAGGAAGCGGAATAGAACGAAGGTTACATGGCTAGAAGTAAGTAATATAAACTTGGGCATAATTGAGTTATCTCTAATTTAGAACTCATTATGAATGAATGGTGGCTGATTTATATAACCGACCCTAAAGGTTTAAATAATGCTAATTTTGATGGCTATTTATTTATTGGATCAAAGAATTATTTTCATCTGATTTGCTCTGTTTTTATGAGATTAGTTTTCATTTATTGATGAAGATATTTTTTAGTATTTTGCTTTGTCAGCTACTGAAGTTGGATGTTTGATTAGCCTTGGCCCTGGTGAATCTTGTGAGTTCTTTCATGATCCTTCAATGAAATCAAGGTCTGCTTTAAATTTGTCTCTAATATACTGCTTGGTATATATGTATATTTCTAACTTTATTGTGGTCTATGCGTGGTTTTCAGCTTGGAAGGACAGGTGAAAAAGACATTAACCATTTCTCCACTTAATGATGGTAGTGGCTATATCTTCAATCTGTGTAAGCTTTTCTTCTTTGATTTACCTTTTTTTTGTGTGCCATTTACAATAAAATTATAATAAACTACAGAATGTATAACTTACCCTCCAGGCTTTTTTACATCATGACCCTGGAAGATAAAATTAGAGAGTTTTGCTCTTATACCGTGCTAAAAATATGAATTTTTTAGTATGCCACCCAAAATTTTAATGTATTACTATGTTAACTCTTACAGAAATTGCACTTTAGTTGGTGTTAATCTAAGTGTTTGTTTGGAGTGGCTGCATTTTTTTAAAAACGTCGTTATAAAACTATGGCGGAGAAAACAACTTTTTAAAAAGCTATGATGAGAATTATAAATGTACATTTTTTTTCAAAAAAAATTAGACTACAACTTTCTTACATTTACTACACTTTAATAGTTTAGATTGAAAAAAATAGCTTCCCAAATACAAAATTTCTAGAATGCAACAACAAAGTAGTTCCCCAAACAGAGTTATGGTAGCGGTATGAAATGCAAAGTGAGTAGAAAGCGATCTCGGATAGACTCTAAATATACTTTTTTTTGTTTATTTTGAGCAATAACCCTTGAATGTATCTTAATGTAAAAAAGAAATTGCTTTTCATTTGAACTATACTAGCTTAGGCACAATTTTGAAGCAACAAATGTATATTGTAACTAAAATTGAGTTGGGTTTCAGTAATCAGCTTAGGCTTTCACAGTAGAAACTATTTTCAAACTCAAATATTGATTAACTAAGGTTCATGTTCTAGTTGTGCTTCACATATTGACCTCCTATTAATGACTCCCAAATGTATCTATATACCATAAAAACAAAATCACCCAAGTTGAAGCCAGGCAGTTAGGCTAGCTAGTCGAGACAAAAAAAGAGCTCGGGTCAAGTTTGTGACAGATTGAATTCACCAGAGAGCTTGCCAACGGAGCTTAAGACTTTCCAACCGTGTCCCAAGGGAGCTCGTTCAACTGTGCTTATGGCACTCACCTGCCAGGATTGAGGCGGGGTTATCAGTGGACTAAAGTGAAAAATATCCACTAAGCTCATGAAGGTTGCACATGAAGTTACCATGAACTTGCCCAACTGATTGATCTTAGATTGTCATCCAAGCCATTAGTTCTTCTCGATCACTCCCATTAGTAGAGCCAACGATTTCACAAAGTCCAACCGACTGCTATGTTGAGTTTGAGTTTGTACTTAGGCTATACCTCTCTTGTATTTTTTATATTTTTTATGTATAGCTTATTTTGTAGTGCTTGGATTCTTAGCTCCCTGCCTATAAATAGAATATCTTGGGGAGAGCCAAAGGTTCTGCATTTTCCTACTGTATTGTAGCTTTTTGAGCCTCGTAATGGATTTTTCCTTACTCTCCATTCAATTCTTTGTTTCTTTCTTCTTTTCCTTTGTTTTGATAAGGTTCTAGTATAACCCACAAACAAAACAGTATCTAGCAATATCAACCCAAAGTAGAAAAAGCTGCGAGTTTGGTTCATTGTTTATATTTTCATTGTAGTGAAATTGATGTTTAAATCATTTATAGGTCACCTATGCTTATTTTAAACTTCTCATCAGTAACTTCAATTTCATGTTAACGTTTAACTCAAACGGGGCAGTAGATGGTACGTATTTGTACATGTTAATGATTTCATCCTTTCCGGCATGATAAGGGTTCATCAAAGTATTTTCTTATCAATCTATTCTTTATAAGTAATTCTTAGCTTAATCTGTTAGTCAACTTACCTAATTTAATTCATCACAAATTGGACATACTGTGTCAAGCAAATAAATTTTCTAGGGTCAAGAAAATATCATTTGTTTCTTTCTGTAATCAAATATAAAAATATCATTTTTGCTTCTTTGTGAAACATTTGGGTGATCGATGTCATATTATGGATAGAAACACTAATTGCTCCTATAATTTCCATCGTTGATATGGTTTCTGTCACTTGAATTACACTGAAATCCATTCTAATAGGCTTCGGAGTTTATTTTTTTATAGGTACTATTTATTCAAATTAAATGAAAAAATGACACTCAATAGGATGCAATGGAGACAAATGGTTAATGTAGCCGACCCCACTTAGTGGGATAAAGGCTTGTTGTTGCTGTTGCTGTACTAAAATCATTACTCAGTCATCAATCATATCCATTCCTTGCAAAATTAGCAGATCTTCTTTTTGTGATTTTCATAGTTATAATAGTATGCGAAATTTAGCTGTATGCTATTAAGGTCGTAAAGATATATAAATATTTTAAATGTGGCAAAATAGAAAGATACACCTATCAGATAATTATGACTAAAAAAATGGTTTTAGTATCTACGCAGCAAAAATATTGAACTGCCTACAATCAACCTTGTCAATGTTCGTATAAAATACAATTAAGTGAGACAGATCTTTCTCTCTGCAGTTGGCAACAACTATTATGATGTACTAGCAAATTCCTTACAATTTTGATTTAAGTTTACCAAATTCTTGAAGTTATAGGAAAATTCTAAAATTACTGCACATAAAACTCAATTTTTGATCGAAGTCTCATTCAAATAGGCTTAAAAAGGTAGCTAAAGGTTGCAATGGAAGGTTTTGCTTGTGTTTGCAGAGTTTCCATATGAGCTCCTTGAGCCAAATACTAGATTTGCCAAATTTACTCGATTTTTCAGTCAAGTCCTCGAGCCAAATACCAGATTTGCCAAATTTTTTTCTGTTTTTTATTGTTGAGGTCACCTGAACCATAGAATACGATCAAGACTGCTTTCACATAAGTTGAATATCTGAATTCCTAGCAAATGTGGATGCCAATCAATGGAGGTTGACTGCCTTACTGAAGATGAGGTGATATCAGAGTTAACCCATACTACGACTCATATATACGAAAATTATTGCTGACTTAATTAATGATACAATGAAGACTCAAAATAAAAGAAAACAAGCACACAAAGCAAAGATGCAATATGATTGCAAACAAACGACACAACAAAGAAGGTACAAACAATCTCGACAAGTAGGAACTCCAAAGTGGATGCGTAGGACTGACAGCTGCAGGGAAGGCCAGACGGTGGAAGATCGTAGATGGTGGAATTATCTTGTTTCTGTTGGGGGGTGGGGGACAGCGATAGTAGAGGCGTCAAATCGCAGATGAAGGACGTCGTCGGCGGTTGAAACCCGACTTAGCAGGGAATGGAGGTTTGGTGGAAGCAGGGAAGAAGCTGGTCGGCCAGCTGGAGGCAGGGAGGAGGGTTGTGGCTTGCTAGGAGGAGGGCGACAGTCTTCTGGAGGCAGGGGAGAGGGTTGCGGTCAGCTGGGAGTAGGGCGGCAACCTGCTGGAGGAAGGGAGGAGGGTTGTGGCCTGCTGGGAGGAGGGCTGTGGCTTGCTGGGAGGAGGACAACAGAGGGCGGCGGCCTACAGGATGCAGGAAGAAGGCTGGGCGGCAGCTTGCAGGGGTGCGGGGAGGGGTTCGATGTATGTTGACTGGCAGGGAAGCTGCATGTGGTTGTCTGGGGAGAGGTAAAGCGGCGGTGGCCTGCTGTAAGGCTGGGAGGCGGGCTGACAATAACAGGAAGGGTGGAAGGACAAATAATTATCTCGACGTAGTCGAGCTACAGTCGAAGCACTATCCAAACCCATAGATACGATCATCACCTCGGACGAGGGATAGTCGGAGCGCTTTCTTACCGTCGGTTACAACCCTCGAAGGGGAAAATATAATGCCCGCAGTGGTTCAAACATAATGCTGAATTCTTAAGTCACAAAAAAAACCCATTTTATAAGCAAAAACAACCCTTATACATACGAGGGATTAGGACTTATATTAGACAATGCTTCCAATTATGAAATAAAATCAGAAGGAAGTAATATAATAGACAATGATTTATAATAGGGGATTTCGTGGAAAAGGAAAGAAAACGAGAGGGGGTGGGGGGTCAGTCAGCCCCTTAGGAGGGCCAACTGGTCTAGCAGGAGGCTGGACCAGGCCCAGCTATGCCGGTCTGGCCAGCCTCTAACAACAACCCCGTGTTAGTCTCCCGGAGTTAGAGGAGCTGCGACCTTGTTTGTCAAAGCTTTTGGTTTCCTTGTTTTTAATCTTGGCGGCACCTAAATCCACTAGCGACTGTACTGTCGTCCAAAACACTTGTGAGCATATATACATCTCGATTCAATCTCCTAGGACAGCATGCCACACATGTATTGCTGAAGCTTCTCAGAGCAATTCACAGTAGGTTCAATCTGATTTGTAATGAGAGTAACTTGAATCTTCCAGCATGGTGGTGGCGTTGATGGTACAGTGTCGACTATAAAGCCTTGAATTACATTTGGTCGTATCTGTTCTGTTTCTAGAGCTAGTATCTCAGGCCTCTCATTTCGTGTCATTACTAAAACTTGTCCCACCAAGGCTGCTCTGCAAGTAAGGGATCTTGTGCTCTCGAGTTCCACCGAGGGAAGAAGGATGATGTGCTTCCCATCTTTGGTAAAAGAATGTTTTTGAATCCATTTTGCTTAGTCCTACGATCAAACTGCCAAGGTCTTCCCAATAAGAGGTGTCAGAAATTCATTGGGATCACGTCACACCACATCTGGTTCTGTAGTTGGCATCCGATCGAAAACTCTACCAGGCATCTCCGGTCGATGCTTACCTGATTCTTTTTTTTCAGCCACGTCAGTGAATATGGCTGGGAATGCCTCTGTATCGCTAGCCCCAATTTCTATATCATCTGAGTCGATGCCACTTTCTTGCTGCTATCCCTGTCGATGATAATCCACATACTTTTCCGTTCACCGTGCAGCGGGTGTAGAAAATGTTGTGGTGAAACCACTGCGGATCCTCATGTCCTCGGTTTGCAGAATCCATGAAATCACAAGTGCTTATTCCTCATTGAGTGGAAGCTGATACCTCACCTTGTTTCTCAACTTTCTGCTCTTTGCTAACTTCTTTCATAGTGCCCTGCTCGGTAAAGATACAACTTTGCTCGTCGGGCAGCTGGAGGCTATGTGCTCAAACCCATGGCT